GGAAGTGCCGTTGAATCTTATACTTCATATTCTGTCAACAATGACAACCTACATACACAGGCTCACATTTAGAAGGGAGTGCAATGTCTCCACAAATCATGTCTTTTGTAATGAACAAAGAAAATTCAGTATGATAAATTAAGCATTGACTGCTATAGGATTCTGAGAACTCAAAAGTCATAAGGGTTATGTCGAACTTTCAGTCAAAGCTCATCTAAGCTTTAATAGTGGATGAGAGCTTCTGAGAAAACACACGCGCACACACACACACACAAAAAACATGTTTACTAGTTTACTAATAAAGTGTTTAAAACGATGTATTTTATAAATAAGAAATTCGTTATATTTTTAATTACATACACATCTGGGGGCATTTCCTCCAAGGAGCATATGCTGGTTAGGTATGTTTTGACGCTGGGATGCTGGTTTAAGCTGGTCCTTTTGCTGGTTTATGCTGGTCATGTGCTGGCAAAAGACCAGCATAAACCAGCAAAATGACCAGCATAAACCAGCAAAGGACCAGCTTAAACCAACTGTAATGTTCTTCTACATTACAGTTCCGAGATCGGGTTTAAATTGGTTTGAATTACTAAGACAGTCAGTAAACAAATCCACTTGTTTCACAGGTAATTTCACAGGTAGGTTTACAAGTCTGTTCTGTTCAAAACATGAAACTGCCTTATCCCCTCACTGGCAAAACGACGATAAACAACAAAATCTTCCTCCAAAGTCTGAAACATCACAAAAAAATCTACTGCATGATACAAGTTTATACAAAAATCATAAATAATAAAAACGCAAGGATGAATAATTCACATATTTGCCTCCTTCTGGTGCTCAGCTTCTTGCTACGGGCGAAGACTGTGCTCTCAGAAAACTGTACCACCTTGGCAGCTTACTGGGAGTGCTAGATAAGGATTTGGACCTTTTGCTGGTTTATGCTGGTCATGTGCTGGCAAAAGACCAGCATAAACCAGCAAAATGACCAGCATAAACCAACAAAGGACTAGCTTAAACCAACTGTAATGTTCTTCTACATTACAGTTCCGAGATCGGGTTTAAATTGGTTTGAATTACTAAGACAGTCAGTAAACAAATCCACTTGTTTCACAGGTAATTTCACAGGTAGGTTTACAAGTCTGTTCTGTTCAAAACATGAAACTGCCTTATCCCCTCACTGGCAAAACGACGATAAACAACAAAATCTTCCTCCAAAGTCTGAAACATCACAAAAAAATCTACTGCATGATACAAGTTTATACAAAAATCATAAATAATAAAAACGCAAGGATGAATAATTCACATATTTGCCTCCTTATGGTGCTCAGCTTCTTGCTACGGGCGAAGACTGTGCTCTCAGAAAACTGTACCACCTTGGCAGCTTACTGGGAGTGCTAGATAAGGATTTGGAGACAGTGTTTATATAAATACTAATGCAAGGTAAACGCATGTGTGTAAAGTGGAGGGAATGGTGCCGTGAGCTGTCTTACTGCTGTGTGAGGAAGTGCCGTTAAATCTTATACTTCATATTCTGTCAACAATGACAACCTACATACACAGGCTCACATTTAGAAGGGAGTGCAATGTCTCCACAAATCATGTCTTTTGTAATGAACAAAGAAAATTCAGTATGATAAATTAAGCATTGACTGCTATAGGATTCTGAGAACTCAAAAGTCATAAGGGTTATGTCGAACTTTCAGTCAAAGCTCATCTAAGCTTTAATAGTGGATGAGAGCTTCTGAGAAAACACACGCGCACACACACACACACAAAAAACATGTTTACTAGTTTACTAATAAAGTGTTTAAAACGATGTATTTTATAAATAAGAAATTCGTTATATTTTTAATTACATACACATCTGGGGGCATTTCCTCCAAGGAGGCAGGGAGGCAAGGGAGGCAGTGTCTCTTCAAAATTAGAAAAAAATGTGTAGTACAAAAATAAAACAATGCAAATATAAAAAAATATAACATTAAAAAGTGTATAAATCACTCACTTTTTATAAGAAATACTGTACAACAGCGACACCAGCAGGTAAAGTTACAATGGGAGTCTTGCCTCCCCTGAGCCCACTGAGTTTTAACAGACCCACTAAAGCATGCGGTGAGTTTGGTGGGGGGTAACTGAGAATGAATGGGGGAAAGTCACGTGAGAGGATGCAATGCCTCCATCGCGATATGATTGGATGTGGCTGGTTATGATCGGCTGTGATTGGTTCATGCGATAAATCACGCCTCTTGTGTTTGTGCTTGTTTCTTGTTCGCGAATCAGTCTGAATGAACAATATAATGGCGTTAATGGGAAGACTAATTAAAAAAGTAAGTAGAACCACATTGTTACGTCAAAATAAGACTTCAAATGATCTGAAAACATGATCTGTGGGAGGTTTTAGTGAGTAATCAGCTTGGTGAAATTTTAAGTAAATCTCTGTGTCTGTGACCAATATTTACAGAGCTTTGATGACTGATGAAAAATTCAAAAACAGTTAAAAGTGAACTATTTAAAAAAAAAACTGAACATAAGTTCACCAATAAAAAAATATTGTTTAAATTGTTACTGCGGTGAGTTATTATTTTGGAATAAATGTAAAATGCTTAAAAACACTTGATGAGATTCATACTTGGCTTTAACAAATAGAATATTGATTACACTGTTAATGTAAAAATATAAAATAGAATATTTTTTTTTCTTTTCTTTATCTGATGTGTAAGTAATGTTCATTTAACCAAGAAAATGTGACTGGGGTATGAATTTACATTCGATTAAAAAAATAAATAAATAAAAACTTTGCCCCTTCATTTCAGAACACCACTGCACACCACTGATGTACATACATACATGTATGCATACATAGACATATAGCCTATACAAACATATGAAATCAATTCTTGAACAATTCTGAACAACTTATTGTTCAAGGTTGGCTAAAACATATCCATTTTAAGTGTTACATCTCATTTGAAGTTGAGGCGCTGGGGAGAAACATGCCTCCCAATGTTCAAATGAAACCCACTACATATATTTGCTTTCTTGTATCACTTTCTTCTCTCACACTCCAGTCTTTTCTCTTTCAACTATTTTAGCATGAAATGCTTGAATGTTTAAAGCGTAGACAGAACTGCAATTACTTTCTCTAATATTTTTTAAAATATACTGGTGCACTTGTAGGCAAGACTACTCTCAAACAAAAAACACTTGTACAGTTCCAAAAATATCATCAAATCACAGTTTATATTATCTCCAGTACTATATCAGCTATACTCACAGACACCAAACTCTCTATAGAGTCAACCCCCCTACCCACCGCAGACTGCCAACTCCACATAAAAATTAATTGGATCCCACTAAAGGTGTCCGCCATGACCATTTCCACCAATGCAATTGAAGTTTTTTTCTTCTTTTCTCCCTCTCTGTCTAATGGCGAACAGCCAGAGAGATAGAGTAAGTCTCAAGCACGACGTTGAAGCTTTACAGTTCAACTAATCCAATTTCACCCACAGACAAATCATCTCTGGCCATATACAGATTTTAATAGGAATCTTTAAAGGGGTTTCCATAAAAGCCATTCACTGGTGCCGAATATCCAGTTACAGTGATTTTTGCACATGGTGCGGGGAAGATTGTCACCTTCCCCTTGGCTAAACCCTGCATGGACAGTATGGGAAAGGACAATGACATCTGGCAAAAAAGTATTTGAACATTATAGAATTTTCTGGAACACTGAGAGACAATAGCTCTGTTCCAAAACCTAATGAGCTACCTTCAGATAGTTTATATTTGGTTAGGAGACGTGAGAATTAAGCTATTTTGGTGTTATTCATGCCAAACCAGGTGTGGTGTATCTTGACAAACCAAGTGTTATGACCGTTTCTTTGATAATAATTTTAGTTGTATTGTGTTGCTCTGTTTCTCTCTCGCTCTCCTCTTTGGTCTGCTCTCTCATAGGTTGCATGATGCTGTGGTGTCGGCGCATAATTGGTTGTTCTATTAAGGCGGAGTCTTTTAAGGAAGCCACTTGCCAGCTGTCGGGGAGCTCATTGTTGGTGCGAACACGAACAGGTTCGGAGCTCCTGGATTCCTCCTCCGGCCGGCGGCCAAACTAATGTTTAACACCTGCTGTTGTGACTAAAACTTCTCATCATGTGAAACAGAGCGTAGGGGTGTCCTGACCATTTTCTTTTGTGAATTTGTTTGGGTTTTGTTTTTGGTTAGGAAGTTAGGTAAGCTGGCTGTATTTTCATTTTCTAAATTGTCTAGGTTATTTAATTTCTCTTTTTTTGTTCTAGTCTCCTTTTTGTTTGTTATGTTGGCCTGTGGCCACCACGAAGAGACGCTCTTCATGTTTCACTCATAACCTTTAATAAATCTAACTGTTTCTGCTTCCCGTGAGTGGTATGATTGTTTGGTCCCCGACCGGAGTGATTATTCCTTTAACTTGTTGGGAATCCAGCACCAACTCAATCTTCATTATGCCCCTTTCATTCCCTAGACGTGGGGTGTAATACCAAGTTTGAAACATGAATGCGTGAATGAGATTTGAGAGCTATGGCAAGCCCCAAAATTTTCAGTAAATGACGAACACATTTTGATCGAAAAAGGTGCGATATCTAGATGACTAGACGTCAGAGGTCAAAAATAGTATTTTCACACATTATGAAACACAAAAAAATAGGTATGACCTCACTTTAATGCGGGGTTAGGGCAGGTTACAGAGTAAAAAAGCAGGACTTTCAGCAGGGAAAGTTAAACTTTCACAACACGTTGCATAAAAGCAGCCCAGGAGAGGGAACAATGAGATGTTTGGGAGGGGTAAAGAGCTCTGAACTGCTAAAGTTAAGCCTGGAGGGATCAGATCACCATTGACAAAACCCTGGGTGGGGACACAGCATTATTTATACACTAGAGGAGATCTGTTTTCAATGGCCTACTGAGAGTAGCAATAAGTCAAATTTGCATATGAAATATCTACAAGATGTAGCTCTTGATATATCGATATGAGGGTTTTATGGTGCATGTGAGGGGTTTTGGTGTTCAATGCCTAAGGAAGACACACAAGTTATTCAAAGTTGCAATTGAGAAGAGGAAAAACTGAGTACTGTGTGCCCCGCAGGATGTAGACTCGGCTTATCTGGTGAAAGCTGATTTGGAGGACAAAGTTGGTGCCCTGACTGATGAGATCAACTTCCTGAGAACCATCTACGATGAGGTGAGACACACACACATACATACTTCAAACATTATAAACAATATAAACATATATTATTTTCCCCCACGCCACAACAAATCCTTTAAATTTAATGGTATTCAGAAGAGAACATGAAAAATGTAAGTATAAAACAAACATAAATTATGGTGGCATTCATTTTAAACAACATTTACAATAAACGCCTAGTTTAAACAAATGTATTGAAAGCAAAGTAAATGTAGGAAATGCACTATACAAATAAATGTGGGCTCACATGCCTTTATGCATGTTTTGTGTGCTTGACATTAATTGCATTATTCACATTGCAACTTCTTTCAGATGATAAAAACATGACTTATATTTCAGAAAATATGGTTCATACTAAGCAATACGATACTATTTTAATGTTTTGTCTTTAAATCTTTAACACATTGCCATATAACTGGTCGGACCAAAATAAATATCTAGACCAATGTGGTGTGCAAGAAATTAGCAGTTTTTACATACACATCTTAATTTCCACACAGCTGAAAACTCTCTTAAACACAAACTTACCTTGTCTCTCTGGATCAGGAATTGCGTGAGCTGCAGGCCAGCATTAAAGACACGTCCGTCATCGTGCAGATGGACAACTCACGAAACCTCAACATGGATCAAATTGTGGCCGAAGTCAAGGCTCAATACGAGGAGATCGCAGTCAGGAGCCGCGAAGAGGCTGAATCCTGGTACAAGTCCAAGGTAGACACAAAATGCAAACTTTGTCCCTTGATAAATTAGTTTATCAAGATTGATCAAACCTAGAGATTTTTCTCTTCCAGTCATCACAAAATACCCTTTTCAACTTGTATTTCTGATTGAAAATAGAAGCTTCAGTGTCATAAAATGTAGGGCGGGATTGCATCCATTGGGAATTGATTGGATAAAGAAAACTGTTTCAGAGAAAGAGAAAGTCATTACATTTTGATGAAAGATTTTTTCCCTTTGGAATAAGGAATCGTTAACAATGAGACCAGGAAGATGGATTAAGAAAGTAAGATTTTCATGTTGACTTCAGGTGTTTTTCTTCACAAAGATTCATAAACATATAGGAATAAATTTAGTTTAGATAAAACACCTTTCATTATGGACATCGAATGACTACAGTAGTTTGTGTCTGATATACTGTACTGATCTTTTTGTCTTTTTCCATCTTGTTTTGGTCAGTTTGATCAGATGTCCTCTCAGGCCAGTCAGTACAACGATGAACTGCGAAACACAAAAGGAGAGATCGCAGATGTCAATCGCATGATCAGTCGTATGCAGAGCGAGATTGAGGTTATTAAATCACAGGTGAGAAATGTGCTAAATTAACCTTTGCTTTAACCTAAACCTATTGGTGGTCGCTAACTCTCAAGGCTACAATCGTTTTAGCGAGCTAACCTGGAGAACCAGATAGTGGAGGCTGAGGATCGTGGCGAGATGACTGTGAAGGAGGCCAAAGGTCGTATTAAGGACTTGGAGGAGGCGCTTCAGAGAGCCAAGCAGGACATGGCCCGCCAACTCCGTGAGTACCAGGAGCTCATGAACGTCAAGTTGGCGCTGGACATCGAGATCGCCACCTACAGGAAGCTGCTGGAAGGCGAGGAGGACAGGTAACACATTGAGTCCTGTTATAGCATGTTGTATTTTACTTGAGAGGGGTGGAACTGAAATGTTTACATTTACAAATATCCACCGTCAAATTTTTCTTTTTACCTCTCACAGAATTGGACAGCAGCCCATTGTGAACATCCAGGCTGTTTCTAACTACAGTAAGTGTAAAGGGACTAATGGGACATTATTCATTACAACAATGGCCACAGTAAACACACACTTACAGTGAACATAAAATCCAAAATTATGCCATTTACTTTCTTAGAAGTTTCTGGTTTTGTGTGTAATTTGAAAAAGCAGCATTACCACTGGGATATGTGGAGATGCTCATGACCTTTTGACATGTCTTTGTCAAAAGGCTTCTCAAAAGTGTTTGCTGCTGGTCCATTCCTTTATTAAAAACCCATTTCACACCATCCAACCAATTGTCCATGAAAAAAATCAAGTCAGTCTCAGTCGGTGTCTGAAAGAGGATTTTTAACATCATATTACAAAAGTAAAATGGGTCACAAATCACATTTCATGTTGAGTTTGACCGGTTCATCACCAGCATTTTAAAACGCATACAATATGACCTTCATACACAATTTGAATGCTGAATATTATTGTTTTTCTTCACAGGTTCCAAAGGGGTGAATGGTTTTCAGCAGAACAGCTCTCCATCACCTACAATCCTGATCAAGACTACTGAGAGCAGAAATAACAGCAGATACAGCACTTACTAAAGTGTCAACCATCATCAAAACAATGCTATACTACACATATGACAGTTAACCTTAAAATTAGAAGTAGTTTTCTTTTGTCTTTCTGTGAATCAATGGAAAGAATCTGAAATTAATTTTCCTGAAAGAACAAAGGTGTTGTGCCTGATTCAAATACTATACATGTATTCAATATAAATACTCCGAAATTAAATGACGATATATACAGTGAAATTGTGGAATGATTTATTCCACAGAATTCAATATTTAAAGGGATCATTTTGCATCACATGTATCATTTACTCTTGCAATACAATCTGATCATCTCTAAGGCTTTTAAAAATGTATTTCAGTTTATTTATTATTTTGGACACAATGTGTATCAACATGAGTATGTAATGTAGATATACCTGCAACCTGATACACCATCTGAACAAACAGATCTGATTTCACCACTTTCAAAATTACAGTGTAGACAGTCCTAAAGATTGAAGATGAAAAACAAATCATAATTGTGTGCAGGGTGAACAAAAACCTAGATTTAAGATTAGTCAATGTCTGTAGGAACACAAACCATACAAAAACAACAACAAAAAAACACCAAGAAAGAAAGGAGATGGTCCGAAAAATAACACCAAAAGGGAACATATTCTCAATAGCGCAATTTGAGTATTTCTTCCTGTAAAACCTGTTCAAATGTAACAAATAATTAATTTGGTTACAGGCAAATACACACATTGGATAGTCAGCTCTGTGACAGTAAAACATGATATGATGATATTCTTCATATGCCCTCAATGCTCTCTGGTCTCATTGAGGCTTCATAAACTCACACAAACAGCCTTGGGAATACATATGTGTTTGAGTAATATTTCAACATAAGTATAACTAGCTGTATTTTGACAGTGGTTTCAACTCTACTGTAATCCCAACAATGAGAATTAGAGTAATTTTTGAGGAGCCGTTTGCTATAAAGGGGTTTTATTTAGCATATTATAGCCAATGAGGGTTTAACATCATCTTGAATCAGACAAACACCAAATGTCCTCAAAATTACATCCTGAAGAGCTTTTGGTGATGAAAAGCATCATGGTGAAGACACTTAATGACCACTATGAAGGCCAGAATACACCTAGGCCTAGTTTCATTCCCTAAATTGCTCCAAATTAATGAATATTTGCTTTGTCGATCAAGTTTGACTATGATAATTCTTACCACGAAGCTTCACAGTTTCGCAGAGGCAGGTCCTCATCCAAAACTTCTCCGTTTCATGTACTTCTGTTACTTTCACTAGATTTGATCAACTTAAAGTGTCAAATTTCATGAAATATTGTATATTATACACATAATTACGAAGAAAGCAAACAGACACTTGACCGTTAAGTTGTTCGTCTGTTAAAGCGTTTGAATTCTGAAAGCGCGGGAAGACTTCTGTGGCGTTCAGTCGGGAAACGCGCGCCGATTTCTGATTTTTAGATTAATTATAACGATGGATTAATTATAAATAATTACAATTATTATAAATAATTCGTTTTGGCGTTATAATCCTCGTATTGTGTCATTATATGGTTAAGCACAAATATGTTTTTTTATCCAGTAAAATAAGCAGTTTAAATATAGGCTATAAAGCAGCTGAAATATGCAACGGAGTAAAAAACAAATATAGACAGATTAATTATAACGATGGATTAATTATAAATAATTACAATTATTATAAATAATTCGTTTTGGCGTTATAATCCTCGTATTGTGTCATTATATGGTTAAGCACAAATATGTTTTTTATCCAGTAAAATAAGCAGTTTAAATATAGGCTATAAAGCAGCTGAAATATGCAACGGAGTAAAAAACAAATATAGACAAAAAAAATCATCTTAGTGGAGTAGGTCTATAGCGTTTATTAAATTAAAACATTCAGAGCATATGCTAAAATAACATTTGCAACAGTTGCTATTAAAGTAACTTAATGAATTAACCCAAACTTGTTAAAATGCGTTTTAATACGAAAACAATCATTTGGAAATTATAAAGAAAAGCCCGAGGACATATTCTTAGGAATAATAATACTAACAAAAGGCTACAAAAACGTGTCTTGCACACGTTCATCAGATACTCCGCTCCTATCGAACTCATGGCAAAAGCAAACATCCCTAGTGCCCCCTTGTGGTTGGTAAACAGAATTACAGTCTATCAGATTAGGATTAGAGTCTAATGCCAATCCATAGTCAGCATATGCACAAGTGACTGTGGACTGATTTTAACGGATTAATCTTCTGCCCGACTGTGTTGCTCTTTATCACCGTCTTCTGAAGAGCAGAAGACTTCTGTCCCATGTTGTATTACCGAAACTCTGCATCAGCTCCATGCTGCACTGTTTTTCCAAATGCTCTCTAGCATGCGCTGCCATGTCTCCTCGAATCTCAAGGGTCTTGAAGTGGTCAAAGTCACTGCGCCCCAGTTTGCGTAACCGGCGTGCAGCAGAGCGGTAACACTTCCATGGCTGGGCCTCCAGCAGCAGATACTCACAGAGAGACGCCAGTCTGGAGAGAAGAGACAGAAACGCTGCATCTCCGTGATTCAGATGCACCCACATAGTCACCGCAAAACAGGTGCACAGGTGGAAACGGGGGCAGCCAAAACTTCCCAAATAGGACTCTAGCACTGCCTGGCTCTTTGCATCATCTGTGAGATCCAGGGGGATAAACTGGATATTCTGGGGAAAGGGGTTGGAGTTTTGTGCCCGATTAATTAAATCTGGGTCCAGGTCAAATCCAAGCAAATACAGTTTTCTTTTAGGAAAGACACATCCAGAGGCCTCCTCTTGCAATAAATGCTTGTACAGAGCAACAGATAAATCCTGACAAACAGAGGGAATGATACAAAACACGTTTTGGTGATTAAAACGACATATGAATACGCTGTCCAAAGTGAAACCAATCATGCAATAACATAAAATGAATATACATGACAAAATCATAGTCTAAAAAAAAGAGCCATTTAGCAACTTCTAGACAATAAAATAATTTACTGCTGAGCATAAAACGGGGGCAGCCAAAACTTCCCAAATAGGACTCTAGCACTGCCTGGCTCTTTGCATCATCTGTGAGATCCAGGGGGATAAACTGGATATTCTGGGGAAAGGGGTTGGAGTTTTGTGCCCGATTAATTAAATCTGGGTCCAGGTCAAATCCAAGCAAATACAGTTTTCTTTTAGGAAAGACACATCCAGAGGCCTCCTCTTGCAATAAATGCTTGTACAGAGCAACAGATAAATCCTGACAAACAGAGGGAATGATACAAAACACGTTTTGGTGATTAAAACGACATATGAATACGCTGTCCAAAGTGAAACCAATCATGCAATAACATAAAATGAATATATATGACAAAATCATAGTCTAAAAAAAAGAGCCATTTAGCAACTTCTAGACAATAAAATAATTTAATACAAAAAAATAATTTACTCCTGAGCATAACTAGAGAGAGAGCGAGAGAGAGAGAGAGAGAGAGAGAGAGAGAGAGATTAACCACATTAATTCCAATGACATTATAATGTTGAAAAAAACAGCATATGATGGTTAGGTATGTTTTGAAGCTGGGATGCTGGTCCTTTGCTGATTTATGCTGGTCGGACCAGTTTAAGACCAGCAAAGGACCAGTTTAAATCAGCAAAGGACCAGCAAAGGACCAGCTCAAACCAGCAAAGGACCAGCTCAAACCAGCATCCCCCCTTCAAAACATACCTAACCAGCACATGCTAGTTTTTTCAAAGACAATATTAAATTCCCTTACTTTTTTCCATGTCCGGATCTTGATATTGTTTGACTTATGACCTAATTTATACTGGTTTTACATCTAATACTTAAAATAGATACATATGAACGGTTAAGGATTCAGTAATATCCTTCAAATAAGTTATTAGAGAATTTCAAAATATGAAAGATAAGGCAAGTCACCTTTATTGTGTTTATAGATAACCACAGAATACTAATACTAGTTAAAAGCATTTAACAAGCTTAATATCTAATAATAAAAAGTATAATATGGTGATTTAAATACTAGATGAGAGGAATCTGTCATTTTTACCCCTGAATTACATCCACATCCAGCATTAAAACACGTTCGCCGCTGACAGAACAGAGTGTTTTCAAGCAATGTTTCTGGTATCAAACTCAGGCGGCTCTCTGGCGGGTTGAAGGTGTAATCGATGAAGTTTGAAACATGAAAACACATGAAAACTACGAGTTTTACTACATTTGGCCCCTCTGCTATGCCATACGTTACGAAAAGTAACTGCGCATGCGCAGATTGCGCACAAGCCATTGACCTGACATTGAGAACGGAACTGCATTTCTTCATACTTTGAATTGGAGATTTAATAGGCGAGACTCCACGTTTGCCATATTTTATGTAAACGCTGTAACATTAAACGACTTCAAACGGTATGCAGAAGAAAGATTAACCAACCTTGTTCTTGGACCTTTTTGCTGGAAAACAATCGAATTGCAGTTGAGATTATAGAGCTGAGATGCAAACTCGTGCCGATGTGTTGTAAAAATGAAGAAAAATAAAATAGGTATTCTCGAACAAATGGTGCAATCGTTATTGAATATGGTGCAATGTTTTTGGCCGTGTACCATGGTTAAACCATAGTATTTTGAACCTATAGCCAAGAACCTACACAATACAGTTACTAGATTACCATAGCAGACATTATTTGTTTGATATTATTCATGAAATTTCAGATGGTCATCTTTTTTTTTTTTACTCTGAGTTTTACGACAATATTACAAAGAAGAGAACAAAGCAGAACAAAAGACAAGATCAACTTAGTAATGCAATAGATTAAATAATAATGATACTAATAATAAATAAGTAAATAAAAGTGTGGCTTAGCAAAACAATGAAAGTGCACAATCAATATAATACAATAAAGTTAGCTGAAAAAACAAAATGCCAGAACTAAGAATCAGTCTACGTCCGACAATAAAACATGTTCTGTGACATATTGCTTAAAAGGGCCCCAGGCTTTATTAAACTGGTTAGATGAGCTTCTTATAGAATGTTTGATTTTTCCCAACTTTAGGAACAAGAGGATATCACTAATCCATTGTGTTGGAGTTGGAGGCCTCAGATGGTCATCTTTGACACGTGTGGCCCTGCAGCACAAAAGCAGTGTTAAGTCGCTGGGGGATATTTGTAGCAATAGCCAACAATACATTGTATGGGTCACAATTATACATTTCTCTTTTATGCCAAAAATCATTAGGATATTAAATAAAGATCATGTTCCATGTAGATATTTTGTAAATGTCCTACCGTAAATATATCAAAACTTAATTTTTGATTAGTAATATGCATTGCTAAGAACTTAATTTGGACAACTTTAAAGATGATTTTCTCAATCCCTCAGATTCCAGATTTTCAAACAGTTGTATCTCAGTTAAATATTGTCCTAACAAACCTTATATCAATGGAAAGCTTATTTATTCAGCTTTGAGATGATGTAGAAATCTCAATTTGGAAAAATTGACACTTAAGACTGGTTTTGTG